AGGGCCAGGGAGAACGAACAGAAAGGGAACGGGGAGCAGGAGAACGGGATTGTCGGACGATGGCGGGGGAAGGCACGGGTGCCCATGGGCAGACGGGGGGCACGTGGCGGAGGGATCGCCGACGGCTGGGCTGGAGACAGGTCAGAGGAGAAGGGAGGGCTGCGCAAAGGAGCGAAGGGCCGAGGGAGGAGGAAGGACGAAGACTCGATGTTGCATGCAGGAAGAAAGATCAGGGGGCTGATGATGATAAGGAAAATCTGTATACTCAAGCGGGTAGCATCCGAAAAATAAAGAAGCGGATGGCAGTTATGAGAATGACAATGTGATGTGCCAGACAAAGATGGTGGCGATTGTGAGGATGAGGGGTGTAAAGAGGCGGATATGACAAGGGGGGTGGAGGAGGAGGAGGGATATTGTGATTGAGGGCAGGTGAGATCTGATACTGAGAGGGTGACGGTGAGGGCACGACGGAGGTGGCGACGATGCTGGCATCGCTTTGCTAATCCCGCTTGCTTCTCATGGTGTTGCTGTCGCTGCTTCTCGTTATCTTCCGCGTCGTCGGCCCCTCCTCGTTCTCTTGGTCCCAGCTACGCACTGCACCCCCCATTTCATCGGGCTTTCTCGTCCGCCTCCGCCTCGTTTATGTCGCCACCTTCTCTGTATTATTCTGCTGCTGCTCCTCACATTCCCTTATGTTCCTCTCCCCTATCCGTTCCCTTCTCCGCCTCCGTCCGCTCTTCTCATTATGCTCGCTCATCGCTGTTCTCATCCCCATTCGCTTCCGTCCTCCTATTCTCGATCTGTCGTCCTCTCGGCTTCGTCAGCCCCCCCAAAAAAACGCGAGTCCAAGACAAGCGTGCAAGATCTAATCTCAACGTGTTCACACACATGCAAGTCCATCGGGCAGGTCAGACGCGGACGAAGTCTGAGAGGAGAGCCCTCGGAATCATGCTCATGAAAGCAAGACGGGAGCTAAAGCAAGCATACCTGCTCACATGAAGGATGCCAGCTCGAACCATCGAACCGGGTTCCGCAACCTAAAGTAATTGTATCTTGATGCAACGCGCATGCGGACCGCGGTCGAACAAGGACACCCCAAGCGAGTTATTGTTTGCCATCCTCGAGGACACGCTGGGGGCGAGCACCGAAAGATCCCCATGGGCACCACTGAGGAACCAGATTGAGGCAGTGCCCAGTTGCGATGTTTTGTCAAGTTCGCAAGCGCCGCAGCTAAACGCAGACGATTAGTTCACAGCCAAGCTAAACTGAGATCGCATTGTTGGATAGTGAGGTGAGGCACACTGCAAAACCATGGCTCAAGCAAAATCGTTTTGGAGTACGAACGATCAATGATATAGAGCGAGCGCACAACATTCTGACAGAGCCCTTCCCTGCTGGGGCCGCCGGGATGAGTCTAATGCTGACTGACAGCTCAGGGTTGAGCTGCGTCACGTTGCCCCTTCCTCTCCTCCCCTCTCCCTTTCCCTCTCCTTCCGCTGAATGCCATGAGGCACGTTTGCGCTTGTGAAGAAAGTGTCACTGTCCCTCGTACACTACGAACCCTCAGACCATTACTCGCACGAGTGGTAACCGTGGAGCGCGGCATGGTACGCTGAAGCTATTGTGCCAAGCAGTGTGGCCTGACCTATTCGCTTCAACTGCCATGGACAGCAGCTTTCTCTGGAATTGTTTCACAGAGGTGAAGTCGACGAAACGCTGCGGCATGTGTTTCAGGGTCGAACACTTCTTGTCGGGTGCTGCCACAAGTGTCCCTGGCCCCAGGTGTCCCCAGAATCAGATGAAGAAGATGCCGATCCCGCTACCATTCCCTCGTCACCGCGCTGGACCCTCCCCGAAATCTTGGTAAGAAAGCGTTCCAGTGGAGCTCGGCGGAGTAGCGGACTGGGTATCAGTTTGTTGGCCCCATCGGATTTCCAAGGAGGCCCCCACGCCTCTTGAGCACCCCTCGCGAGGCCCAGAGGGCCCCAGGGGCTCGAGGAATGAGCGAAGAGCTGGGGGCACCCTTGGGCAGGGACCGTTAGCAGCCCCCCAGGCTCTAGGGATCCTCTTTGAGCCCACGGCTCCACAGGAGGCGACTCACGGCGCGCAAGCGTCCACACGAGAGATGGGGATTCGCCTGGCCCCCCCCCCTCGGCGGTGCGGGCCGTCAGGGTCGAGGTCGTTCGGTTGTGCGGCCCGCGCCGTGAAGGCGGGCATTTCTGGCACGGACGCGCATACAACGCTCGGTGCACATGCAGTCCGCTGCCACGCATACATCTGGAGCAGCGTCAGGAGGGGACATTCTCAGGGGGGGGGCAACGACCCCCGATCGCCAAATGATCGCCGACTCGGGCTCGATTCTCTTACACGTCGAGGATCGTGCAGTTTCGCTATCGAGGCCCGAGCCAATCCATCGGCGATGTGTCGCAGGTCGATCTTCCCCCATATCCCCCCCCCTGGAGCCGGCCCCCCCTTACGTTCTCCTTCAACGCGCTACCGCGAACACGCCATCCCGTGCGCCGCTTCTTGTTTCACTGCGCGTGCTGCGCTTCGTGTCCGTAGCCATTTTGGCTCAGGGCTCGGGGTGGCTGCGGAGCGCTGAGGACTCGCGCCAGCGTGGCCGTGCGAGACATGGACTCGCGCATCCGCACGCTGAAGTGGGACCCCCCCGCGACTCCCACACCTGCCGCGATGCACGAAGACATCTACGGCCATTCCGCAACCGTGGTCTCGGGCGCAGTCTGGGTGCTCGGCGGGAAGAACCGAAGAAGCACAACCGTCATGTACATGTACGCCTCCGGAGGTCCGCGCAGATTTCTTGTGTCGACGTGGGGATCCCCCCTCCCTGGCGCGCGGAGCGCGCCAGGGGCGGCGTTGGAGGCGCCGCCAGGGGGGCCCTGGCGCCGACCCGAGAAGCCTCCGTGGCGTTCCGAACGCTTCTGTGCCCGTGCCGGCTATCCTTCCTTCGGGAGACCGAGGACGGCAGGGGCATGACCGTGCACGTGCTGCGCCTGCTGGACGGCAGCTGGGCCGACCGCTCCGCGGCAGGCGGCCACAGACCAGGGCGGCGCTGGGGCCACTCCGCCTGCGCCGTGGGCGAGGGCGTCGGGGGCCCCGGGGCGCTGCTGCTCCTGGTGGGGGGCTTCGACAGCTGCCACAACCTGCGGGACACGTGGCGCCTCGACACGGAGGACGCGGCGTTCGCGCAGCCGAGGCTCGACAAGGAGCTGGGCCACTACGGCGCCTACTCGGAGCCGACTGGGGGGGTTGAGGCGGCCCAGCATTGGTTGGGGCCAGAAGGAAGGGGGGGGGGCAGGAGGCCTCTCGTCGCCACGGCTGGACGCGGCTCGAGCAGCTTGTCAGTTCCGACCCTGGGAGGTGTCCATGGTTCGAATTTGAACAGATTTGCCTTCGTCCCCCCCTCTTGACCGATGTCCTCGGGGACCATGCAGCGCAGACCCCCCAGCCGCTTCCAAGCGCTTACCACTCGCTCGTCTACGACCCCACCGACCAGCGCGCGTACCTGTTCGGCGGCCAGTCGGAGGGCGCCGACTCTTACGCATGGGTCGATCCTGGACGGGCCGACCCTGGTACGGGTCGGTGTGTATGCATGCCTGGCCAAGCCAGGAGGGCTCATGGAACGATCTTGGGCCCAGGACGGGCCCGGGCAGGGTCGGCGTACGTGTATAGTATGCGCCCTCCGAGCCAGTGCTGCGTCGGCGGGCCGTACGAGTACAGCAACGACGTCCACGTGGCGCAGCTCGACGCCGGCTGCGAGTCCGCAAACTGGCGGAAGGCGCGCGACCTCCGAGGCGCCAGGCCGCACGCGCGCGCCCAGCACTGCGCGGCGCTCAGCGGCGGTGCGATGATCGTCTACGGCGGTGCCGCCGCAGGCCGCCAGTTCAACTCGGCGGCCCGCCCACACGGGGAAGGCCGGTGGGGGCGGGGCGTCTGAGGAGTCTCGGAAGGAAGCTGTCTGCGCCTCCTCTGAGTGACGCAGGCGGCTCGCCAGATTTCCCTTCCTCCGGGGGGCCCCCGAGGCGCCCCGCCGCCTTCCGAGAAGCCCTGCCCGCTCTCGCTTCCTCCCTGGGCGTGCCGCCGATCAACGACGTCTGGCGCCTGGACCTGGCGCAGGGCACCTGGGCGGAGCTGGCGGCGTCGGGCACTGGGCCTGGGCGGCGGCCGCCTCCCGTGGAGCACGAGGTGCGGCGGCACGCAGGAGTCTTCCGCCACGCGCACGGGGGGGAATCCAGGGGGAGGGGGGAGGGCTTCTCAGAGGGAGGCTGCCTCTTGGAGGGCGCGGGCCTTGTCTGTAGATGTGAGGGCCGCGCCTTCTCAGAAGCCGCCTCCTTCTAAGAAGCCTTCCCCCCTCCCCCTACCCCCCTGTGCGCGCCGCCAAAGTTTGGCTAGCGAAGAGCGGTGCAGTAACATGAACAGGTCTGCCATCGGGTGCGCCTGTCCCAGGGCGGCTGGAAAGTCTTCGTGCACCCCCCGCCTGCAACTGCAGGGGTGCACACTTCCCAGCCGCCCTGGGACAGTCGCCCCCGATGGCGGACAGCTCCCCGGCTTTCGGGGGGCGGGGGGGGGGGAGAAACCTCGAGCATGAATGCCACTATGCCGCACCGCATGCAGCGAGCGGCCAGCAGCGCACCAGAGGTCACTCCTGCCCAGGGTCGCTCCCCAGAGATCTGATGTTTTGTTGTCTTCAATGCTGGGCCCCCTGGAGTCCCGAACCTTTCCCTTTAGGACCGGCTCATCATCCCGACTCGTTGTTTGACGGCCCCAGGGCCTGGCGACGGCCCCCAGAGGCCGATCACAGCCACGAGCCTCTTGCTGACTTTTTCAAGACGTTGGAGGCCGTGCCTCCCTGGGGGCGCCCCTTGCGTGTGCCCGAGAGGCAGCGGCGCGCCCAGGGGGAAGTGAGAGGGGGCCGGCCTTCTCACAGGGCGGCGGGGCTCCGCGCCCTCTGAGATGCCGTCTGTGTCCTCGGAGAAGGCTTAGGAAGCTTCTCAGAAGAGGGTCGGGGTGGCCTTCTGAGCCTTCTGAGACGCCCCGCCCCCTCTGCCTTCCCCGTGTGGGCGGGCCGCGAAGAGAGGTGGAGGAGCACCACTTCCGCGTGCACTGCTGCCGCGCCTTCGCCACGGCGCGGGGCGGGCGGCTGCTTGTGGTCGCCAGGGGGCCCGGGGCGGCGAGGTGGGGGCACCTGGGCCTGCCTGGCGTCGCGCTCGGCGGGGGCGGCGCCCCTGAGATTTTGGCGCCATGAACAAATCATCATGGGAGGTTTTTGCGGCAGTCGGCCTCCAGGGGCCCTTACCGGGTCTCTGGTCTTCCAGCAGGACGACTCAGGATGGAAAGCGGGTCCCTGGGCAGGGATCCAGACTTCCTGCGCCCCTGAGAAGTGGGCGTCGCATTTTGTTCATATCGGACGATGTTGCTTGTGTCGGGTCCCGGGTACAGCCCAGGTCCCGAATCGAGTTTTTTCGGGATGCTGCATTTTTTCCGTGGCGTCGAATCTCAGGTGCGTGGGACGGTCTTCTGAGGAAGACTGGGGGCTTCGTAGACGGCAGGGGCCTGCCTCTTACCAGGACAAGGCAAGTTTGCTCTCCCAGCGTGCCCCCTCTAGGTGGGGATGGGTGCCGTGAAACCCCAAGGAGGCGGCAACAATGGTACGTCGGCCAGCGAGGCCGGGGTCTTCCTTGTGGGGGTGGGGGTGGTCTTATGTAGTTGTCCAGCTTCCCAAACGCCGGGGGGGCTTCTGAGAGGCCCCCTCCCCTTCTGAGATGCCTTCTTGGGAGGCCGCTTCCTCGCGCCACCCCTTCGCGCGTGCCGCCAACCTGCACTCTTTCGACCTGTCGTCTATGCGCTGGACCACGCTGCCGGTGGAGAGCCGGGCCCCGTGGATCGGCGGTTCAAAGATGGGGCCCTGAGGGATGTGACCACATCGGTAGGAAGAGGAGCACAAGTTACACCTTGAGTTGAGCTTCGGCATCGGCGCTGGTCTATCCGCCGTCGGGAAGCGGTCCTTTCCTGCACTGTCCCAGCTAATTCCGCTTGGTTTTCATCCAACTCAGCCAGGTTTAAGGTGGGCTTACTAGTCTGGCCGATTGCGCCCGAATCGACATATTTGCCTCCTGATCGTTCTTACGAGGACCTCCCAAAAGTTGCCTCCTAACCTCTGGTTGCCTTCTGTTCCCGCTGAAACGCTTGGGCCTTGAGACGCCTTCGAAAGCTCAGAGATCGTCGACAAACGTGCCCCTGGTTTCTTATCAGCGAGACCTTTCGTCGTATGTGTCTACTGTAGGGCCCCGTCCCTCAGGGCCTCGTCCTTGAACCGCCGAGTGGACGGGAAACTTTGCGGCCTGGGTCGCGCCTGGCGGGGACGCGCGTGGCGCGGGCGACCGGGTCTGCGTGCTGGGCGGGCACGGCGGCGGCGGCGCCCAGCAGCCGCGCTGCAGCCTGTGGGCGCTGCCCTTGTGTTCGTTCGAGGGAAGAAACACGATGACCATTACCAAGATGTCGCGGTGTCCTGGCGATGTCGACCCTGGGTGTGAGACATGCCGGCCGTCGCCGATACGCGAGGATGATCCACGAATTGACGCAAGGGCTCCCACGAGGGCGCGAAGTTATTCGCTTTTCGTGTTCGCGGTCTCGGCCCTCTTCCTCGTCCTCATCCCTCGTCCTCCTCGTCTTTCGTCCTCATGTTGTCCCCTGGGAGGTGGCGCGACAGCGCGAAGTTGTTTGCCCAGCGCGTACGTAGCGCGAAAACATAAGCCCTTGTTGACGATGACCAGACTGGACGATGACATGACACATATCGGCGCGGACCTTTTTCCGCGTTCAGTCATGTTTCTGAGTCATGGTCATCAATTTATTTCCCTCCACTCGTGTAGAGAACCAAAGGATTGCGTGAGCATACTGTCATATCAACCATGCTACATCGACGGAACTTTTGGAACTCCGCACGGATATCTTGGATCGGCGCTGGGCCACCCTCGCGACGTCTCGGGAGGGTGGACATACACAACGTCGTTGGGTTCGGAGTCATAGTGGGGGGGATAGTTTTTCGCTCTGCGTAGGATGATGCTCGTTGGGAAGAGTCCTCGGCGTGATGAGGAGGATGATTCTGATGTGTAGTCTACGCTCGGCTTAGGATGATGCTGCTCAACAACATCCAGTACAGTGATTTCTCGCCTGGGTTCTGGACCCTGATCCCTGCACCTCTGCTCGCAGGGCGCCAACCCCTGCCCGCGCTCCGGGCTCTGGGCAGGAGGTGCGGCTCTGACCGTCCAGAGCGCTAAACAACGGCCCTTCAGACAATTGAGACCTCGAGCTCGAGTGCGATCTGAGTTCGAAGGTCCTGGTGTTTTTTTTTAGCTGTGGTGGGGGGGGTGGTGGTCCAGCTTTTTTTGCCCTCCTGGAAGGCCAAGGGGGCAGGGGGGGCGTCCAGCGCCGGCCCAAGGGAGCAGGCATCCGACGGTGTGATTCTCGTCAATCCGCGGGCCCAGGGCGGTCCCGGTCCCTTCCCGAGGCAACCGTGTCCGTTTCTGAGCTCCAGCGCTCCAAAATATTGCACCCCCAGGAGGCCGAGACCAGGGCGCAGCACTTTTTTGCCGTGGCGGGCGCCGGCGGTCGCACGGCGCGGTCGGAGCCTGGGCGGGGTCGTTGCAAGGCGAATTGGCACAGGAGACCGGGAGCAAAGCGGAGGACGGCGGCCGCGGAGGGACAGGAGGGGAGGGGCGGCGCGCTCAGGGCGTGAAAGTCTTCGCTTGCTGTGCTGCGGCCTCGGGCTGTTGGTAGGGGTCGTGCGAGGTGGTGTCGCTCAGACCAGAAAAGACTTGGGAAAGCTGGATAACAGCATGGCCCCGCCAGGATCAAGGACAGCAGGCGGCTGGAAAAACACATCGCCAGACATCTGGACACTCCGCGCTGACCTCCGAGCGTCAATTGGGTGGTATATTCTCAGGGGGGAAGGCATCGACCCCCATTCGCCCATTCATCGCCGATAGCCGATAGGGTTCGGACATCCCATCCCGCTGAGAAACGTGGGGTGCCGCTATCGAGCGCCTATCGCCGATCCGTCGGCGATGTGTCGCCTAGTCCTGGTGGATGAATTGGGAGCACAGCATTAATGCTTTGGACTCACAGCAGCGCGACACGCTCCGCGTGCCGAACGCCCGTCCGCCTCTGCGATCCTCCGCCCGTGGACGTCGGCACGCAGAGGGTGTTCGTGACGGCGGGTGGCTGATGCACGCAGTGGTTGCTAGCCGGGTACTTGGTACTTGCCGGAATGTCCACCTGCATTCGCCGACGGCGAATGCAGCCGCGAACGTAGAGGAAGCTACATCCTCGAATATTTGGGGAAACTCCGCGCGGAGCTCCGAGCGTCTGTGCCTAGTCTGCGGACGACCTGCGTGCACCGTGCCACGTCGGCGCCTCCCGAGGCGCCCTCGCTTCTCGGCCTGGGAATGCTGCGGCGCACGGTTGTAAGGCCCTCGGAGCCTAACATCTGTGCACCGTGCACATGGTACGATGCATTGGCGTCGTTCCCGTGCAGCCTTTTTCGCGCGTCGGGAGCGAAACAAAAACGCGACATTGCAGGAACATCGCGATTGGAGCCACAGACAGGCCCAACCTTCCAGCGGCACTTTTTCGAGCCGACTCGATCTGCTAGGGTCTCAGGGGCCCGAAACCTGGCGAAAACGCCCGGCGTGAAGAAATGCGACGCCAGGATCTCAGAACCTACGCAGCGTAATTGCCGCGTTGGAGCCTGGCCTGAAGGGAGTCCACGTATATACGGTACATGGGTGCCGTTTTCAGGATGGCTCAAGATTTCGGGCCTTTTTTAAGGCCGGGGAACCTGTGTTCGTGACCAGGGTTGCGGACTGCCTCTGCCGCGCTGTGACACAAAAGCGTGCGTGACCGAGGTTCGCCGCGGCCAACAAAACCCGTCTCCTCCTCACTCAGACGTTCCTTGTAGTTCGGACGCAACTCCTGGGATGTCAAATTCTGATTTTGCCTTGGTCCGAAATCCGGCTTAATCCCGCGTGATCCCGTTTAATCCGGTTTAATGCCGCTTAATCCGTCTCAATCCCGCCTAATCCCGCTTAATCCGAGGCCCACTCTGGCACAACAGCCCCGCAATGTGGCTTAATCCTCTTCAATCTTTCCGACGAAGACCTCCCAACAATTGCTTCCTGATTGTGGTGGCGCAGTCCCCTCGCATGACTCCCGCCCTGAGCCTGGGCCGCCAGACTACGCTTGAAGACCGCGTTCTGAGCGTGCCGCCCGTCCGCACCCTCCCCCCTTCGGCCGCCTTCCGCCTCGGCTCGCTCTCCCGGTGTGCTGTACTTCGCCGCTCTGCACCCCAGCGCTGGGTCTTCCTGCGGCGCGCGTCCGCCAGCGCCGCGGCAGAAGCATGTGGTAGGACGAGGACCAATGACTGCACATTCATCGTGCTACAATGAGGCATGTTTGAATAATGGAAAGAGCGTGTTCTACCGCTACTGGCGGAAAACCGGGGGGGGTCACTACCGGTTCGAACCCCTCCCCCCCCCCCCCCCCTCCGGAAAACCGGGGGGGGTCACTACCGGTTCGAACCCTCCCCCCCCCCCCCAGCTCATCATGAAAAGGGGGGGGGGTCACTACCGGTTCGAACCCCCCCCCCCCCTCGAAAACCGAGTGGGGGTGCGGACAGTGGTGGGGACGGTGTTGGTGGGGACAGTGGTGAGGGGACAGCGGGACAGTGGTGGGGACAGTGGGACAGTGGGACAGTGGGGACGGTAGTGGTGGGGACAGTGGTGGGGACAATGGTGGGAACAGGGGGGACAGTGGACAGTGGTGGGAACGGTGGTGGTGGGGACAGTGGTGTGGGGACAGTGGGAATGAGGTGGAAACACTGGGACAGTGGAGGGTACAATGGTGGTGGAGACACTGGTAAAGGCGGTGGCGAGGACGGCGGTGGGACAATGGGACAGAGGTACAGTGGGGACAGTGGCGGGGACAGTGGGGACAGTGGTGGAAACAGTGGGACAGCTCAGTGGGACAGCGGAGGAGTCAGTGGGACAATGGAGACAATGGGGATAGGCAGTGGTTGGGTCCGTGTAGACAGTGGGGAAAGTGGAACCGTGGTGGGAACAGTTGTGGGAACAGTGGGGACAGTGCGACAGTGGTGGGGGCATTGGTGGGGACAATAGGGACGGTGGTGGAACCAGTGGGGACAGTGGTGGTGAGGACAGTGGTGCTGGGAACAACAGTGGGGGATGTGATGCGAGCGGTGGTAGGGACCGGGAGTCGTTTGCTGGCGGTGCGTGGGGGGGGGGGGTCGAACCGGTAGTGACCCCCCTCCGGTTTTCGAGGGGGGGGGGGGGGTTCAACCGGTAGTGACCCCCCCCGGTTTTCCGCATCCGGAGGGGGGGGGGGGGGGGGAGGGGTTCGAACCGGTAGTGACCCCTCCCGGTTTTCGAGGGGGGGGGGGGGGGGGGGGGGGAGGGGTTAGGGGAGGGGGGGGGTTTTGCCGGGAGGGAGGGGGGAGGGGTTCCGGCAGGGGGGGGGGGGATTTTCGGAGGGGGGGGGGGGAGACCCGGGGCTCCGGAGGAAAAGGTTGGCAATTTTCCACAGTAAAGCGGCGGTGGATCACGCTCTCTCGAATAATGAGTAAATGGGCTTTTCTGGCCAGGGCGAGCCTCGGCCACGAACAGGTTGACCCGGATCTGAGGAACGGCCCGAAAGCCAGCACCCCCCGTACATCCGAAGTGGTGTTTATGTCAGCGTCTTGATCGTATGCCCGGATGGGGTCCACGGCATTTTTGACACTTCGCGTATCCCTACCAGCCTCGCCGCATCATCGTATGCTCGTGGAGCTGCAGTGAGTCTGAATTAGTTGCTCTTGCTCGCGCTCACCCCCTTTTTTTCCGAAGTTTTGGACGGCCTGGCTCAGTGTGCACACGCGTGGGTTCCGTCTGGTCATTGGCCGCTCGGGCTCGCGTTTTGCCCGCGGTTTTTTGCAGTGTCTTGCTGTCCGTCTTGGCCTCGCTTCCGATTGCGGTTCGGCTGGAGTTTGGCGCCGCAAGGGCGACTTCTCCCCCCCGTTCCGCTGCCGCCTCGTTGCCGCGCCTTTTGCTTCCCCACCAGCTGGGCTGTCTGGGCCGGTCACCAGCAGACGCCGAAATGCGTCTCAATGAGGGGCATTTTGTCCCTGGCATGTGCATGTGCCGCTGCGTGCGTTGTCCGCTGGAATCCGCGGCAATCTCGCGCCAAATATCTACGTACCGCGCCCCGGACGTTGTGCTCGCTCCCTGTCTCTCGCCTTGGGGCCGCGAACCAAACAAATATCCCGACCAACCCATCCAAAACCGACGCCCAGGCGAGTTCAGACGATCATGGAAGCGTAGAAGCAACGTAGAGGACAGTTGTTATATTTCGATGGAGGAGGAGGAGGAAGAGGAGGAAGAGGAAGAGGAGGAGGAGGAGGAGGAGGAGGAGGAGGAGGAGGACGAGGAGGAGGATGCCTGATGGAGGAGGGGGACGGATGATGAATTTGCCGATGAGGAGGAGCAGGAAGAGGAGGAGGAGGAGAGGAGGAGGAGGAGGAGGACAAATGCGAACAGAAGAGCCAGAAACCTCTTAATTAAATGCCTCCCGGAGTCTCCCCGGATGTCGACTGCAAGCTTTGCGGCGTCTGGGGGGGGGGGGGGGGGGCATTTTGGCGGGCCCAGGGTCGTCCTTAAACGTCCTGGGTGCCTCAGGGATCCTGTTGAGGCCTCCTGAGGGTCTCTTGGAAGCCTCTTGGAGGCCCGTTGGACGCTTCGTGGAGCCGTCTGGACGCCTCTTGGGGCCTTCTTGGGTCGCTCTTGGGAGCTTTAGAACCGCTCTTGGAGCCATCTTGGAATACATCGATACAACAAGAGGGGAGCTCCATCGCCTGTTGGGGCGCTCTTGGAACGCTCTTGGGGCATTCTTGCGAGAAAGCTTTCAACATCATTGGTATTCCGAAGGTTTTTGAAGGATTTTGGTTTCTTGGGGGCCTCCTGAGGCTCCGTGGCCACCTGGAACCGCCTTGGAGCGCTCCTAGGGCCATTTGGAACATCTTGGGGGCCATCTTGAGGCGTCTTGGGCTATCTTGACCCATCGTGGAGGTCATCTTGGGTTCCCTGAGGCGCCATTGTAGCCGTCTTGGGCCATTTTGGACGCTCCAACCTCTCGCGGACCCCCCCGTCCAAGTCCAGGGGAGGGGGAGGGGGGGGGTAAGCCCCTCCCAGAAGGGTAAGAAGGGGGTTGGAAGAGAAAGCTCCCTCGACCACCTGCGCCCAGAGGGCTGGTGGAACTTTTGGGGCACTCAGTACCGTCAGTGATCGACGAAGAGCGCGGCCCAGGACTTCGCATACCAACATCTCGTACCGTCAGTGTCCACGACTGTATGCCCATGCGACCTGTTTGCGTCTCTGACCGTCGCCCCCGCGCCTCGTGGAGCTGACGCTGCTCCGCGCCGTGGCGCGCGGCCGGCCCGCTGGCGCGCTCTCCGCCCTCCCAGACGAGGGCATGCGGCTCGTGCTGCGCTTCGTGTCCGGCCACGTGCTCGACCTGCTGTAGGCGCTGTTCGTCCGAGGAGAAAGCGGTACCGATGCTGCCGCCCTTCCCTCGTTTTCGCCTGTTCGGGCTTCTGGGAGGTCCTCCTCAGAAAGGCTGGATTCCGCGAGTAGCGCTATTGGTATCCTTTTGTCCCCTCAAGGGCGGGCGGGCATTCTCAGAAGGCTTGGAAGTCATCCAGTTCTCTGAGAAACTTTCTGAGCCTCCTCCGAGGCCGCAGGTGGCTTCTGAGAAGGCGGGATGGCTCCTGAGAAGCCTCGCCGCCTCGAGAGAAGGTCTGCCCCCTCTCACTTCACCTCGGTTTGCCGCCGAGCTGTGGCACGTGCGCGCGCGGCGCAAGGCGGCGGTCGTCGTGAAGCAATCGGGTCCCCAGGGAGGCGGGGCCTCAGGAAGAAACGGTACCAACACCGTTGCTCGATCCTGGAGAGCCTTCGTCGCCACGGCTTCCTCGACATTCTGGTCAGAGCGCGCCCCATGAGAGGTCCGGGGAGTTGCGGCATCGGCATTCTTGTTGCCCCCCAGGTCCTGAGGGTTCTCGCTATTTCTGGCCTCGCATGGCCCTCTCCTGGCTCCGAGAGGCCGCAAGGACAGGACTCGGGACGAAGAGCTGGTCCTTGACCCGCTTCCCTCGGGACCCGCTTGTTTCATTTCATGCCAAGACGGGCGCTGCCAGGAGCGCCGCGGCCCCCTGACGGGTCCAGTTGGCGCGGGGTCCACCTGGGTGCAGGCATCCTTCATGTTCTGAGCCCCAGCCAGCTTTTCTCGGCGGCGTCAGAAGGCCTCTGGCCGTCCGAAGCCGCAGGGGGATTCTCAGAAGCCCAGAGGGGCTTCTGAGATGCCGCGCCGGCTTCTGAGAAGGTCTGGCCTCTCTTGCCCCTCGCCGCGCCGGCCGAATTTCTTGACTCCGACCTGCAGGTGCAGAGTTCGCGTGCAGGTTGCCCATGCAGTGCTGTGCCGCCGAGGTCTGGCGGGAGGGTGACGGGGCCGGGCCCTTCGCGACACCCCCGCGGGCGATGGGCGCGGGGCCCTCGCGGCCGCGTCTCTGGCGCGCCCCGAGGCGCCCCCTTTGTCTACTGCCGCTTCTGGCCTGGTGTCGTCGAACATCTCCGTCCTTCCTCCCGCCCCCATCCCTGCCTCCTCCGCTCCTCCCCTCCGTTCCCCCTGCCTCCGTCCTCTCCTCCCTTTCCGTCGACCATCCTGTCTGAGAGGGGCGGAGGAGAGGCTCTCCTCCCCCTCCTCCCCTCCTCCCTTCCCCTCCCCTCCCCCCTGACCCCTCTCCGCTCCTCCCCCGCCGGGACCACCCCGCCCGCCAGGCCGGCTACAAGATGCTGGGCGTGCCAGCGCTCTTCGTCGCGATGAAGTACATCAAGATCAAGTGAACGACTTGAGAAAAGGAGGATCCATGTTCGAGGGGGCTTCCCGTCGTTTCAGCTGGATCCGCCTCGAAATCCTGGATCGTGCGCATTCCTGGGCAGGTCTGGTTGTCCGCTTTATGAGGGGGAGAATGGAGGTTCAAGGGCCGAGGCTCAAGATTTTGGGCTCTTCGACTGCGCAGACATCCATCCGCACAAAGGCTGCCCGCCTAAGGGCGCGAGTGCCTAAGCGCTCTTGTTTCGCGGCGGCGGTCAGTGTGCTCCGGGTTCCCCCCCCCAAGTGCAATTCGCACGCGAGTCTTCAGGGTCGGGCTTCTTGCGAGGGTTTCTTGCGGCCGCGTCCGCACTGCAGATTTCGAAGGGTTCGCGAGGTTGCCGTCGCAAGGGGCCGGCGCGGTGCGAAAAACTTGCGGGGAGGGATTTGGTGTCCGACTTGGGGCGGAGTTTGGTCGGCTGCCTCCAGGACTCCAATCTGGAAGCATCGAGACTGATCTGTTGTGCAATCACCTGCATCACGGGGCATTTTGGTTTCAGGGGCCGTCGTAGGTCGATGATGGACGAGATGGACGATGGAAGGAATCAACACCGCATTGGGCATCATGATCTCCTCTCCTCGTCTTCCTCGTTCTGCCTCGTTTTTTTGGCCTTCGGGGACGCTCTTCGTCGCCACGGGTGGACGCAGCTCGGAACAAATAGCCAGCAAGTACTGACCTTGATAACCTGATCCAGTCTGCATGCATGCAGGTGTTGGAGATCCACGAAGCGGCATAACCACGAACTCCGATAATATCCATGTAATGTTAGCCAGGTGCGTTGAGAAAGAAGCCATTTCCTCCGCCCGTGTAGCTGATGGTATCGGTCAAACGAGTCTGTGCGGCGGCAAGACGGCAGGAGCCTTTTGAACAAAAGTGCGGCCCGTCTTCCTCATGGCTGGCATGTTCGAGCTTAAGGTCGTACGGTCTTGGGAAGAGATCGGGCGAATTGCCCTGACCGCTCCGCCGACAGGTCTGGTGGTGCGGCGGGGAGGGGCCATCGTCAAAGCGAACGGACGGGCGAGCAAGAGGAGGAGGAGGAGGAGGAGGAGGAGGAGGAGGAGGAGGAGGAGGAGGAGGAGGAGAGCGATGAGGATCGAGCAAGAGGAGGGCCAGGAGGGCGTCGGCGTCGTCGTCGGGCGGTCGTTATGGGGGCGGTAAAGTAGGGGTGGATCGAGTCTGTAGGACAAGTTATCTAAAAGGGGTCCAGACTCCAGACGCCCTGGGCCCCGAGGGCGGACGAAAGCTGCACCTTTCTTCGCGCCGCCCCTGTTGAATGCCCCCCCAGTCAGCAACCACCGCTCGTCGCCGTGGTTGCGGTCGTTGGCGATGGCGTCGGCGTCCTTTTGGTCGCTGTGGTCACCGCCCGCCGCCGCCGTCGGCGTAGGCGCCGCCGTCAGCGCCGCGGGGCGGCCGAGGTGACGGAGGGGAGCTGTGCCTCTGAGGCGGGCGCGACTGGAGGCGCCGCCGCGCGGGGCAAGCATCGATTATGTGCTCGGGCCTGCGGCGTTCCGAGGGGTGCCTCGTCGTCCTCGTGGTCCAGGAGGTTGGGAGGGAGGGAGGAAGGGAGGGACGGAGAGAGATAGGGATGGAGGGGTTAGGATGAGGAGGAGGAGGCAGGGAGGCAGGGAGGCAGGGATGAGGATGAGGATGAGAAGAGGAGAAGAGGAGGAGAAGAGGAGGATGATGATGATGATGCTGATGCTGATGCTGATGATGATGATGATGATGATGATGATGATGATGATGATGATGATGATGATGATGATGATGATGCGGATGATGATGATGATGATGATGATGATGATGATGATGATGATGATGATGATGATGATGATGATGATGATGATGATGATGATGATGTTGATGTTGATGTTGATGTTGATGTTGATGTTGATGTTGATGATGATGAGGAGGAGGAGGAGGAGAATATGCTTCGGAGGAGGAGGAATGAGGAGGAACTTGCTACAGGCTCCGCCATTCGGCCGGCCACTGGCCATGGTCTCTACGAACATAAGGGACAACAAGGAAGAGGAGGAGGAGGAGGAGGAGGAGGAGGTGGAGGAGAGGAAGGGCAGGGTGGATCCCATAGGGTTGAGGGGAGGGGCCCTTGCGCCATCCTCACCTGGACGAATGTGGCCCCAGCTACGCCTGGTGGCCTTCCCAACCGTGGCCGCCGCCACGGGAAGGCGCAAAACCCGGTGGAAGCCCCAGAACGAATTTTCCGATCACTGTCGGGAGCCGTTCGCCCACCTGGCGGGTGAAGGTTCCCTTGGCAGGGATGGGGGTCGTCTCGTTGGGCTAACTGTGGGATAGTGGGGGGGGGCCCTTGCGCCGTCCCACCTCGGCGTATGATGGCCACGGAACGAAGCAAACGAGTCTTTCCAACCTCCAGCGTCGATTGTTCCCTACCAGGCCGTCTGAACGCCAACTTCCGCACGTCAGCCTTGCCTCCTATTCCTTCCTCCTGCTCCTCCTCCTCCTCCTCCTCCTCCTCTTCCGTAACAATTTTGGCTCAAGGCCACATGGCGTTTCCTTCGCTTCCTCAGCGGGGTAGGTTCCTACCAGAGATTCTTCAGGGCTTTTGTTGCAACCCCAGGGGCGAGCCGCCGCCCAATTGCATATTCACTCGTCCTTGCTCAGTGCGAGCAGGTCTCAGCCAATGCCATGTCAGACGTCACCAACAGCGGCAAGGGCGCCCGTCGCGCAACAGGTGCAGGTGGCACAGGGGACAAGGGTGGCGACAAAAGGTCATGACAAGAGTGCCAAGCTCAATCTGGCCAAGTGGAATACGGTCTGCAAGCAGCGCCGCTACCGCTGGACGTGGAAGGGCAATTCGGATTGCTTCCACTGCGGCGAGCCCCTCGCGCCGACTTCTGGATAATACTGGCAGCCTGCAGTTGCGTTGGCAGGCGAGGCTCCTGCATGGCGGCAGCGGCAGCAGAAGTCCCCCGCGACGGACCCGGTTTTCGACGCGCTGGCCAACCTCTTCGGCGACGACGGCTCCAAGAAGCAGCTGCTCGCTTGCCTGCAAGCGGCGATCAAGCCTGCGCTTTCGCCCGCCGCCGCCAGGTCGGAGGAGCAGGCGTTGCAGCTCGCGCTCGCTATCCTCAGCAACCGTAAGTCCCGCCCCGACACGCTCGTCGAGGACGTCGCGGGCGCCACGGACAGGCTCGCCGCGCTCGAGGAGCAGCAGCAGCAGGCGGCGCCCGACCTCGTCAAGACGCTGGTTGAGTGCTCAAAGGCGCAGGTGGCGATCAATGCCAAACTTTGCTTTGCCCGCGGTGTCCCGCAAGCCCGCGACGCCCTCGCCGCCGACGACTCCCTGTGGGCCGCCCCCTCGGTCTACGACGAGGAGACCCGCGAGAAGATGGAGGAGTGGAAGGCGCACCTCGACTGCCGCGTCAAGGTGGTCAGCGAGGGGCGAGAGCGTTTTCGGGAGATCACGCGCCAGGCGGAGACGGGGGCCAACCCCGACATGCGGAAGCGCAGGGTGACCCCATGCGGCGAAGCAGCTGCGGGCTCCGATGGCGGACGGGGCGCGCCGACGATGGGGCTCCGATGGCGGACGGAGCGGTTCCTGCCGCCCCACTTGCGGCCGCAGCCGCCCCAGTGTCCACGGGCGGCGCCGCGAGCAGCAGCGGCCCCGCGCCCGTGGCCACTGACGAGCCCTCCGAAGCGGGCAAGCAGACCGCCGCCGAGCTAGCCGTCCGCGCGGCTGCCGTGGCTTTCCAGCAGGCGCGCGCTGCCGCTCAGGAAGGCGGCGGCGGCTGTGCGAAGTCTCCCGGCGCCGGCGCCCCTGGGCTTCGCGCAGGGTGGCTGCGGCAAATCGCCCGCCGAAGGGGGCGCGAAGCCCTCCGTCTTCTTCGGCGGCATCACCGAGTGGGGGCCGCAAGCCGCGGCCTGCGTGAGGGGCGAGGGTCAGCACTACCACGTGATCGCACTTGCAGAGGCGCGCGCGGCGGCGTGCAACCTCGATGGGGTGGCGGGCCCGCTGGCAGCAGATTGGTGGGAGGCTGCCGCGGCGCCTGCGGTCGCCGCCCACGAGTCCAAGGGGGGCGCGCACGGGGTCGAATGGGTCCTGGTCAGCCAGGACATCTCGTGCCGCAGCTACTACGGCAGCAACTGCAAGTGGCAGCCTTCCATCGGTTTCGCGCCGCGCGTGCTGCGCGCCGCGAAAGGCAATTTGGTGGCGATTGCGGCCCGCCTGCGGCCTGGGCTCCGCGGCCAGGGGGCCGACCGCGACGTCCTGGTGAGCCTCGCCACTTTCCTGTGCATGGTGCAGGGCCCGCGGCTGGCGCTGGCGGACTGGAACTGCGAGCCGCCGCGGTGGGCCGACAGGCCGTGGCATGAGCGGTGGAATGCGCCCGCTATGCTACCCGGAGGTTGCGCGGTCGCGCGCGACAAGGGCAAGGGCTCCATCTGCGGCTGCGGCGTCGCTCGCAGCGGCGTGGCGGGCGCCCTCGGGATGCTGCCCGTCTACCGCTCGCCGTTGGGGGGCCAGCCCCAGCGGGGTGCGCGTCGGCGCGCGGGGCGGGCGAGGTCGCCTGGTCCACCGTCGACGGCGCAGGGGGGCCGCGGCCGTCGATGCGTCCGGCGCCCAGTGGGTCGCCGCGATGGAGATCGATTCTCAATGCGCACCAGGCCCCTGTCGAGGAGCGGCCGGATTGCATGGGGCGCGCGGGGGGTGCGCCACGGCCACCGAGAACATGGGGGGGGCACGCGGGCCGCCTAGTGGCAGACTGTCGCCGCGTTGTCGGCCAGGTGCATCGCCGCCGTCAAGAATGGCAACGACCCCCGAGCGCGCGCGCGCGGGCGGCCAGGTCTATATCGACCAAACTTGACCAACCCAAGAACCCGGAGTTCCAAGCGAACCAATTCGGGTCCAGGACCGACCCGGCCGAGACTGAGGAGTGGAAGACGAATGTGTCGATGCTCGACTTCTGCAGCGATGGCGACCTGGTCTGCGTCGCTGCGGCTGCCGAGCACCGGGCCAATAGGGCGATTGGTCGGGCGGCCGCCCGATCGCGCGAGCGGCTCCCGGAGTCGGCAGGGGCTGCCTGAGGGGCAGCCCCGGCAAGCTCCGCGTGGTCGTCAATGGCCCGAGCCCGCCCGAGATCGAAACCGTGGACGGCGGCGCCGCGCAGGGCGCGCCGCCGTTCATCTTGCATGCGTCCGCCGTGGAAGGCGCCCACGTGCGGCCAGGGGGCTCTCTACCAGGCCTGCGCTGAGATCCGCGCGAGGGCCAGGGGCAGACCGCTCGACGAGATCGCCGCGGACCAGATCCGCGCGGCGGTCGGCGCGGCCAACCCCGGGAAGGCGAAGGGCGTCGACGACGTCGGTTCCGCAGAAGCCCCTCGAGGCTGGCATCCAGCAGTTTGCCGATGCACTCAACGAGGTCGAGCGGGCGGGCTCTTGGCCGCAGCGGGTCCGCGCCATGGCTGGGGCAATGCCGCCCAAAGCCGTCGGCCGCGCGCGTCGTCGGCGCGCCGGCAGCGGCGCCCAAGGTTTGGAGCAAGCTTCGTGCTCCGATCACGGACCAGAAGCCAGACGACCTCGGGGACTTCTGGGGCGCGGCCACCGAAGGGTTCGGCGCTCTTCGCTGGGCGCAGGCGCGCGCTCCTCGACGAGACGTGCGCGGAGCCCGGCGTCGCTTTCGCGGCGCTGCTACTGGGCGTCGAGAATTTAGACGACAGCGTCAAATTCCACCGGGGCTTCCCGCCATCGTGATGGCGCTCGAGGTGGGGCTCTTCGCCGACCCGCGGCGCCTGCGCGCGCGCGGCTGGGCCGGCGAGGCGAGCGACCCCTGGCGCTCGATCGTCGCTGGCAGTGCGCATGGGGGCAAGTTCGCGAAGGCGTGCGTCGGGCCCATCCTGCAGCGGGCGCGCGCCAACTTCGCTTACGTGGGCGCATGGGCGTTCGCGGGCGACGCCGCGGCACGCGTCGAGGGGGCGGATGAGCAGGTGGTTCGCGATCTCGTGGGCGTCGGCGGCGTGCTATGCGCGGGGCTCGCGGAGGCCGACGCGCGCGCCCTGGCCCCGTCCGCGCGCGCGGCGTTGCGGGCGCAGGGGGCACGGGCCAAGGTGGCCAGCGACAGCGTCGACCGGGGCATGGGCGCCGCAGGCGCCGGGCGGCGCGCCGCCGCCATGGCGCAGGGCAAGGGCTCGGACGGGTCGCGTCCTGTCCAAGTTCCGCAAGCGCGCCTCGCTCGCCAAGGTTTCGAGAGGCCTCCGGGCTACTGGATCCCGACCTCAGGGCATCTTCGGGCACCAGGTCGCGGGAATGGCCCCGTCCCAGGTGCTGCTGTAGCGTTGCCTGGCGCTGCGGGCCGTCGGCGGCAAGTCGCCGGACAGGTGCCTGACCGCGGTATTGGCTGTAGTCCTCGGCGGCAGGGGTCCCGCTGTGGAGCTCAGGCGCCAGTC